CTCGACAAATAGTGTATTTTCATAATGTATTATTCAGATATCCGACGAATTATAGATCATTAGGTAAACATGGTGTATTCAGTTGTTCACTGGCATAGATAAAATTGTTTCTACAAATGTTCTTGAATAACAAATAGTGTCTTGTTCCCTAAAATCCTTATATATGTGTCAATGTAGTTAGTTATTCACTTGCATAAATTCAACTGTTTCTACAAATGTTAATGGATAACAAATAGTGCCTTGTACCTGGAAATCCTTATATATGTGTCAATGTATTTAGTTATTCACTGGCATAAATTCAGCTGTTTCTACAAATGTCAATGTATAACAACAAATAGTGCCTTATACCTGGAAATCCTTATATATGTGTCAATGTAGTTAGTTATTCACTTGCATAAATTCAGCTGTTTCTACAAATGTCAATGGATAACAAATAGTGCCTTGTACCTGGAAATCCTTATATATGTGTCAATGTAGTTAGTTATTCACTTGCATAAATTCAACTGTTTCTACAAATGTCAATGGATAACAAATGGTGCCTTGTAACCGAAATCCTTATATGTGTCATATATTATTATTTTTAATTAGATTTTTTATAAATTTGTTGTTATTTCCAATTTACTGATATTATACACTGCCATCCATATTTTGTTTTATTCGGGTTTTTTCCATAACTGCCACTGGTGATATTCTTCCTGTCTCTTGGTGGTATTGCTTGTCAACGACCCCTGCCCAAGTTATACTACGCATTATGACGTCGTATGCTACAGGCTATGCTTAGTAATATATATTCTGTGTTATAATGAATTAAAACAAGATTACAATTTATACAATTATTATATTAATTTTGATAATTAGTTGAATAAATACAAATACAAATGTGAAATAAAAATAATAACTCATCACAACTGTGTATGTTTGTTCTGTATTTGAACTGTCAGGTTTTACCGAAATAATAAAACTGTTTGTTTTTGTTTTGACAATTTTTAAAGTCTTTCCTACACTAATATGTGAATGACGTAATCTACTTAGTCAATATTATGTGTTATTTCTATGACTACTAACATATGAACAGTATTACTAACGTATTAAAATATCTCAGATAAAAATAACTGGAAGCAGCCTATCTCTAAACAATAATTTATATTGCAGTAAAATGGTCTTTCATAACTTTGTTATAGGAAGAAGAGATGAAGCCTTTTCAGAGCTCTTACACTCAGTTTAGGTGGAAACCTAGTTACTGTTTATGTAATCTATCACGGCTGCTTTCAATATATTACTACCGTTATCATTAAACAAAAGATCGATGTAGACAAAACAAGACTTATGCGTAAAATACGCATACCAACATGCTAAATGCAGCAGAATTAACCTGTATGCGATTTTTTGGCGACAGTTAATATTATTTCGCCATCTTTGTCCTAGAAACATCACTGAATCACGTGAACTACACTTATATTTCCCTGTTTTTGTCTGTAAAATGTAATTCAAGATGTTCTAGGTTCGGGAACGAAAAATATAAAATTCACTGGCTTTTCTCGTTTCCCTGACCAGAGGGAATTGTGCGCTTAATTTAGGTTCATCATACTTTTTTATTACTTATGTGAAGGCTGGTTTTGAATACATTATAATTTTCATTTGAAGCTTACACTTCAATGTGAGGCTAGTTTTGAATAACGTTACTAACTTTCCTTTGCCGCTTACACGTTAATGTGAATGAAAAAGTAGTGTTATGTTAAAAACATTTCTTTTTGTATTTATTATTGTTTAATAACGGTGAAGGCTAACTTGCAGCTACCCACCCATATATGTGTGTATAGAACTATTTACTGACGCGTGTTCCATGGCTAACACCACACATGTTAGATAGTACACCGGCTTGTGAGATGAGTAGCCTACTCACTCATTCCTCCGCGTGTAAATTTAAAAGCGAGAAAAAATTGCGTTGTAGAACAGTTTTATACATATATTTCAAACGATTTTATAATAATAATATAAGTTATATTCCAGTTTATCTAAGTCTTCATTCATTTTTCTCTCTCTTGGCTTGGTGGAGGGGAGGCGATTCTTGAAATTGTATAATCACTAAATGGGAAATTTCGTTGTTTCTTTGGTTCCCATGAGATTCCCCTATTTGAGAGTGGTTGCTGCCACTCTCTTTACACAAATATAGTGATAGCTCCCCCGCATCCTGCACCACTGTTGTGTCAACTCCAGAGTTCTCCTTTAAATGTGTATTATAATTACAAGAGGTGAGAATAAGTAAACAGTACCAAATATTTATTTTTGAACACGCGTTTGCAAGCAATTTGATCCATTCACGCGTGCAGCATGCGTCAATTTTATCTTGAAACCTGCACGCTTGTCGGTAACGGATGTGATCCAGAGTGTCTTTTAATTGGTTAATCTGAACTTGCTCATTCCTACCTTTACGCCTGCACATATGCGTGCAGCAACTAATTCGTACTTCTTAACTTTCTATAACTTAAAAGTATCTAGATTTTAGAAACTCAATAACTTGACGAATACAGTATTACTAGACTCGGGAAAATGTCATGCAGCTTAAGCTTTGTTATGTAATCAATTATAAATTATCCGTAACACTAAAGCTTAATTTAATAACATCACTATCTACCAAAAAAAAAAATTGAGATTTATTTTGTTTCAAAATGTTTTCGAGCATAAGAACATCTATTTAATTTAAACAATTCTCCAGTACAAGCTGTATTTGTAGTGTCATTTGAATGCATTATCTTGGTGCATTCACTCACATGGTAAAGGCAGTAAGGGTTCCAAATATCTCTAGAAAGGACTTTTTATTGGGTAATTTCGGGTGTGAAATGCTGTGAAAACCTTCAAAAAGGAACAATTAATCATCATCATTCTTAATTGAAGTCTTTTCACTATTGGCTGAACACAGGAGTAGCCCAAGATACATCTGAGAAATTCATAATACATTCACAATATTATAGTAAAAAGTATCCTAAGACAATTTTGTCAATGAGTCCACTGTAGTTAAAGTGTTGTAAAGGACAAATATACTTACAGAACCTAGTGTAATTTCAAAATTCTCTTCTGTTCTTTGGATAGACATACAAAATAAATAAGTATTAAATGAAATATAATCAACTGTATTCTCGTGATAATTTCAACTTTATTCAAATATTGTTTGTAAATGTCGTTAATAAGATATGTTTAAACCAATGTAATTAACTCTGAAGTAAATGTATTGCTATTCCCACATAGGAATAGGTATAAAACCCCCACAAGTACTAAAATAGAGGGTGCATAAAAACCTAACAAGTCCTGAGAGAGGAAGGTTTGGAAAATAAATAGTTCCCTACATATGAGATAATTTTTCAAACGTAGAAGAAACATGGGTCTCCCCTAAATATAGGGAGTTATGAGTCCGGAATGTATTGTATTGTTGGAAATTTCGTTGTTGTTTTTGAAGTGTTTTCTAAATATGGATTTTATAATCCCAAAGATATAAACAAAAAGTCTGAAGAACGTATTTAACTTTTTAAAAATAATATTTTATTCAAACGGAAAGAAAATAACTAAATTATCATACTAAACGTTATAAAAATAGTGGTTAGCGTGCGGGTGTGTGAATCCGAAAGTCCATGGTTCGCGTCCCTTTGCCACGAATTGCACTTCGCAATTTGAAGCCGTAGACTGCCCTTGTGTAGTTTTCGTTAGATACATAAATATTAATTTGGGTGCATTAGAGCAAAGTTACATTGGGCTATCTGCTGTGTCCATCGCTGGGAATCGAACCCCGAAGTTTAGCGTTGTAAGTTTGTAGACTTATCCCTTTCCCAATGAGAGAACTCAACATATAGAAGGGTACTGTTTAGGATAAAATTGGGTTAATAAGCAATCAAAAATTACTATATCGTTAATGTTTTCTGTTTGTATGTTATATTCAATTTATATTTGTATAAAAAAAAACATTCAATATACTCGTACAACGTCTTATCTTATAATATAATTCACTCCTGGATATGAAAATATCCAATAACTTAATATCGTAACGCCAGTAGTCAATATAATTTCAGGTTAAATGGAGACATCTGTATTTAAAATTGTCCTCAAAATAGGAGCAATGGAGTGAATAACATCCTCAAAATAGGAGCAATGGAGTAAATAACAAGTTTAACTTATAGGTTTGTCTAAAAAGACTGAAATGTACTACTTTATTCTCAACGAGAAGTCTTATCTATGCTTTTCGTTTACAGTTTTCTTTATGGGAAATTTGAGACATGGTGTATTTATAGATAGATTAAGGATATTTCATTAAAAGATGCCATAGAATAGATTCTTATTCATACGTCTTGGTAAATCAATAAAGAGTGCAGTATAACATAGTTTTTGTAAGATTTCTTTTTCCTTTAGTATACAAATATATAAAATTCTATAGTGTTTACACTTTTATTTAGTGAATAGTTGAAAAGAGGCAATCTTTGTATATTGTGTTGCAAGAGAGTACATTTCGTTCGTACATGTTTTCCTCGTTATTTTCAAAACTAAACTTAAAAATACGCTCTTCTTCTTTTCTTTTTTTTCTTTTTTTTTGTTTCCATCTATCTCCCTTTCAGTGCTGTTAAACTTCTTCAAGCTGTTCGCTAATCCTCCATGGTTCAAAGCTGTTGACATATCGTCTGTAAACCACTGCTACTCAGAAAAGAAGGATTTTGTTTGTTAATAGTTAAGCACAAAGCTACACAAAGAGCTGTCAATGCTGTGCCCACCACGGGTATCTAAACCCAGTTTTTAGCGGTATAAGTCCGTAGACTTACTACTGTGCCACTAGGGAGTAGAAAAGCAATAAATAAAATATATTGTTTATATTTATATAGCAAGGTATCGTAAACTTATTCCTTCTAGGGAGTAAAAATGAAGAAAACGTTCAAATTTACGATCACATCGAAGTGAACAAAACAAAGATTACCTGATGATTTTGACGTCGAAAATACTTTAAAAGTTAATGATACTTTCAACTCTACGCTTTAGCAAAGTATATTAGAGGAGGAGTCAGCAAAGAAAGATTTAATACTTCGTTTCCTAGTTGATAGAATCTTGGCAGTATTTATACTACAAAATATATTTAAAACACTTTTAATAGAGCGTCTAATAAAAATTAGTTTTTGGTTTTTGTTATGAAGAAACATATTACAATATATTTACATAAATCACGATCAACTGTAATTTACATTCTCGAATGCCCCCCAGTGGCACAGCCGCATGTCTGCGGACTTACAACGCTAGAAACCGGGTTTCGATACCCGTGGTGGGCAGAGCGCAGATAGCCCATTGTGTAGCTTTGTGCTTAACTTCAAACAAACAAACATTCTCGAATAAAGTGGACTAGAATAACGAAGGCTAATATCGTTTGATATTGTAGTTACTGTACGGGTTTTCTAATCCAATTTAAGTTGTAATATGGTTTCGTCTTAAACTTTACACTACTGAAGAAACCTAATACTGACTCTTATGGGAAAATTCAATACCCTCAGACACTCTTATGTAATTAAAAAGTATTCATACAATCAAAAACTATACAAAGTGGTTGGCTTTTCTTTGAAAGGGAGGGCAGGTTATCCCTGTAGTAGAGCTCTGAGTTCGAAACAAAATATTTCTCACACTTTAAGTTCAGATGCGTTATAAGTTTGGTAAGCTGAATAGTGAAAAACACAAAACCGGTAGGTTGTGTTATACTTGACGCGTAATATATAAGTTATTTCAATGGATTTTCTTTTGGAACATGTCACACATATAAATCGGTTATTTAATACCAGAACCAGGTGTGAAACTATTCATTTTTCGATTACTGTAAACACGTTCTTCTACGATAACCACCTATATTAAACATGGAACGCAATTCACATGAATTTTTATACTGTGTTATTATTCTGTCTCTGACAAATACAAAGAAAACAAGCGGAAAGCTTGTAATTATAATCCTCTTAGAATAAACTACTGAGGCAAGTCCACGCGCGATTGTTTCTAGAATTGGAAAAGACTGAGGGAAGCAGGTGCGCCTCTTCTTTTCAGTTTGTTCCCGATATTTTTGGAAAGCTAAATAAAAAATATATCTATGTTTCCTAACTATTAAATGACAGAGTAGAGGGAACTAGCTAATACCATCCGCCACCAGCTCTCGGGCTACGCTAATCGAATAACAGGATTTGGCTGTTTGGCCGTCCATCACACTTACAAAGTAGCAACGGCTTCAAAGTGTGGAGCGCGATTATGCGGCAACGTAACGCGAACCAAGAATCGTCAGATCCACAGTCTAGCATGCTAACCACTATGGAATAAAAACTATCTTTAGCAGTAATATTGATTACATTAGGAATCGATGAGAGGCCACGTTCTAACATAAACTTTTACGGGATCTAAAAATATTAGTAATAAAATAAATGTAAATCTGTGATAGTTTTTTGTTGTTGTTGTTGTTTTTAATTTCGCGCAAAGCTACACGAGGGCTATCTGCGCTAGCCGTCCCTAATTTTGCAGTGTAAGACTAGAGGGAAGGCGGCTAGTCATCACCGCCAACTCTTGGGCTACTCTTTTACCAACGAATATAACATTATAACGCCCTCGGGGCTGAAAGAGCGAGCATGTTTGATGGGATGGGGATTCGAACCCGCAACCCACAGATTGCGAGTCGAGTGCCCTAACCACCTGGCCATGCCGGGCCATCTGTCATAGACTTTATATAATCTGTTGGGTGGTGGTAAATCAACCTCTAATTGTTTACTTCACTAAAGTTTTCAAAACTGATCTAGCAATAAGCACTTAATTATATTTAAAATATATATCATAATAACAAACGGTATTTGGTACTTCCCTACTACCGAAGAGGTGGAACCTAGAGCCCTCTGTTACATCAAAACTATTAAAGGATGATCAGAGTTTGTTTTAACACCTTAGCTATAACAATACACAACTACCGCTATGAATTCATCTCAATGACACCTCCTAGTTTATTTGCTTGTTGGAAAGCACAAAGCTGCGCAATGGACTATCTGTGTTATGCTCATCTCGTGTATCGAAACCCGATTATTGGTGTTATAAGTCTTGAGACTTATCGCTGAGATACTGGGAGGCTTTTATAATATTAATAAATACAAACAAGTGCCAGCCGACTAGCCATGTGATCCTAATACGCAAATGCATATTATCAAACCCATGTCCACCAAACATCATATAGAATTTCAGACCTTGCAATGTAATAAATGATCAGAAAACGTTTGCTAATAACACGTAGGACCATCTAGGACACTAAAGCAAATCGTGCATCTACATCTCATGCTTAAAATGAGTGAGGCAATTTGAGATGCTGAGGTAATATGGTCCACTATTCCATCAAATCTGCTTCCAATTCCCCAACACTGTTTGGTGAATCACGTGCTGACAAACATCTTTCTAGAACATCCCATATACGTCGATCGGATAAAGTGGTGAGCGTGTTGATCAATCCATTTGCACGGGGGGAGCGTGTGTCACCATCCATTAGAAGATGAAAGATCTGATCAACTGTACTCTCGTATGGAAACAGTAATGATTGTAAGATGGAATGGTATTCATAACCTCATGCCATAACACATATAGATCATTGTGTCACCAATACTAATCCCTGCCCAGACCAGTATTTCAGCATCGCCATACGAGTATCCTTCCTTCGTGAAATTAGGGTTGGATCTGATTCCAGCCTTTCTCCAAATACGTCTCGTATATATAGCTACAGTATAAAGTGTGTATGCGTTTTTCGTCTGGAAATAAAACATTCACCTCTTGGCACCATTGAAAACATGCTATTTTCTGGCGATGGGTTAAAGCAACGCACACCATCAGTCATTTGGCATAAAAATCAACTTTAAGAAGCCTCTTTCTTTCTGACTATTTGCATACTGACTTCTCGTCCAATTGCTGCTTCGAACTGTTGATTAAGCTGAGAAGCTGAAGTCCACCTATTGTCTAGCAGTGGTCGCCTTGCGGGGATTGTCGATAATAATGTAACTTGTCCAGGTATTCAGCTGGTTAACTCCCCTGGTGGTCTATAAGCGCTTCGCACACTTGGTGAGAATTGAAGCCACTCGGCGACGACTTCATTTGTTTGATCGGCTTCTAGCTTGTTCTACAGACCATGAACATCTCCAAATGTATTTACATAACTGTTGCTCAAACTTTTAAAACTGTGTATCTCTTGCCTCTACATAACACTGAAATATGCATGTCAGTTCACGTGACTATCCACGTGACACTTGTTCTGTACGTAAACTAGTTGAGGGAAGTCACTGACATTATTTTATTAATAGCAGTTAGAACATAGAATACTCTGATTATTCCTTAATTACCTTAATTGTGTTGAAGTTTTTAACATAACACGAACCATATATATATTTTTGGTCAGACATACAAAAGAAGAAGAGATGCAGAACAAGACTTTCTTTTAGTGATATTTCTAACAGCAGAAAAATTAATTCTAGCAAAAACAGATTATTCAAAGGGTCTTCTAAATGCGATACGTATTAACGGGTATGAATTATCAAAAACTGTATATCTAAAGATATATAAACTGCTGCTCACTTACACTATAAATTTGCACTGAACTAAACTATATAGCTATTGTGTATCGAAAAATCTGCCTCATTTCTTTATATATATATATATATATATATATTGTTTTACAAGGAAAGATACCTTTACAAGTAAAAAAAAATATTTTCTTTATTGTATACATTCTATTCAGTTGTTGTCTGGGTAAAAACGTATTTGATATCCATATTACATCTGAATACTAAATGTTTGTTAACAGTAATGTTAGAACAGTTTGTGATATCGAAAATAAGATCTCCCTATTTCTTATAACTTTGTTTTTATCACCATCTTGCTGGTTTCTCTTAGTTACATTAAAACCTCCTTGTACTACACTTCCGAAGGAATTGGTTGATACCCAGTAAATAATGTGTCTGGCTGTAGTTGTGAAGTCATGCCGCTGAACGTGCTCTGCACTTTCAGCTGTAAGAAGCGTTAAAAACTGATAATCCTCCAGTTATTCGGTTCAAAGAGCCGGATAAGGTTTTTGTCTGGTTACCTCCTATGTGGGTCATTTATTTCAAAATTAGAGACAGCTATACCTGAATCTTAGAGATCTCTGATTTGACTGTTTAGCCCAATATTTACATATAATGTATATATATATATATAATCAAAATTGTTTTTAATCTCGTAGCGTAGTCGCTGTTCCCCAAGATCTAAGTTTAATACCAAAGAATATAAAACATCTGTACTATGGAAATAATTCATTAATCTCAGCAAATCTGAGTATTTATTATTAAAGTCTAAGTATCTATCGAACTTTGTATATTTCTAAAAATTATCACTGTATACATCTATTTTATTGAACCATGACTGTTATACAGAATTTAACTGAAACTGTCAATACCTCAGTTAAATACAAACAAAAAGTAAGCGAAACATTCATCCAAAACTCTTTTTCAAAGTAGCCTAAAATGGTTCACATAAGATATTTCATAGTGTTATGACGCGGTATAAGCCAGACGCGTACTAGTTGTATTTTGTTGTTACTTTCAAAATAACATTTACTCAATACTAATATTAGTCGAAAGATATATATGGGTTTAAAAGGAACTAAAACCCTTATAAGTTATAGTTATGAAAGTTTATACAACTAGCACACCCAAAGATATCAAAGAATGGTTGAGAATCATTCCCCTTAGAGAGTTTCTTCATAGAAGTGTCTACCATCTCGTGTATTACCCAAAACTTAAGGAACGATGGGGCTCATAAAGTCTTCTAACAGCCCATTTTTTTTTTTCATTTACAATGGGTCACCCGATACTTGAGGGGGAGGGAGGATTTAATCTTAAATATATTTACCCTTGTTGTACTTTATTATCATATATTATTTAATTTTAGAATCAACTTATTCTGTAAGTTAAACAATTATTTTAAGCCTTAAAACTACGATATTCTTTTTTTATGAGATTCGTCATTAGATGTTGTTTTGTTTCGGACAGCATCTTTTATCTGGAATTTCTTGCAGGTTTCTATATATCTTTATCAATTTTCGAATTATTTCTTGGCGTTGTTCGTGCATAAGTGTATGGATTCCACATTATATTTAACAACATAGTGTCAAACTCAGCAAGATCCTATGTTTGAAAAGTTAACAGTTTTCAGAGCCTTTAGATTATTAATGCCCATTTCATTCAAGTTTCGGGTATATCCATATAGATCATAATATACCAGTAGCTCTATATTGGATTTGTCATTTTCCTTTGATAAAAGGATTCTAAATGTATCCTGGTACAAGCTCTATATACTCATATATATATAGACAGAGAGAAGGCGGAGGAGGGGAGAATAGCACATATCTCATCAGTCATGAGGAAAGTCTAAACATAAGCGAAAATTTTTTTGGATGAAAAATAGCCCACATTAAACAGATTTAAACAACAATACACAGAATTTGGTTTGAACTCGAATACCAAATAATAATTTTACGAATGTTTTCACAAGTTCAATCGTCTATAGGGTAAATGAATCTAAAAGAACGTGTATGTGAACCTTACTCAGGATTAATCCAGTCTTGTTCTAACACCCGTATACAGTGACAATGTAACAACAGATATTTTCAGATATCAATATCGCAATATCTTCGTTCTATAATTTCCTCTCTTAATTCACTGAAAACAACTTTAAAGGGATTTAATAGCAATGTGAAATAGCAGTGACTGTTTTCGTGCGTCATACGTGATTAATATAACGAAAGGAATAATGCAGCTCTGTGAACATCCAGAGATGGCAAGTTCAAAGAGACAAATCCACTTCGTTTCTTCTCGCTCCGATGTTCTTTTTGCTCTTGATTTTTCTCGCTCTACTTAATCATATGTTAACTTTCCTGTCTTACGACAGATTTTCTAAACTTTTAATGGCCAACTTGTTCGTTTATTTTAAACTAGCTGAGCTTTTTATCACCTTTCCTCATTTTTCGATGTCACCATGACTACTGACTGTCTGTTTGTGTTCTCTACGTTCTTTTATCTATCTACTTCACCGATTTCTTTCCCGTTTAGTTAAGTTGCTATTTTAATTTTTTTTCACTTGTTTAATGTCAGTTCTTCACTGCATAGTTAGGATAAAACACCCTCCCATCCGATTTATTCAACGTTTTCTCCACCCTTCCTTTATCTTCGTCTTTAAATGTCCCTTCGACCGCTGACGGGGTAATGTTTACGCACATCGCAAACCAATTCGCTGCTTGTTTCCGTACGCCTAATGCTAGGTAATAACGGCAGACTGTCCCAAGCCGCGATTTATAAGTAGCTAGGTCGGCGAAATCTTTAAGGAAAGCTACGAAGAATGGAGCTGAAACAGCAAGATAGTGGAGAGACTCGGAAGTTTGAATAGCGTTATCGAAAACACATTGGGTTTCTAACGACACTGGGAAAAGCCTCTTGTAGAGACTTGAAAATCTCTCTCAAGAACACTTTAAGAGCTAAGGTAGAAAGAATACAAAGAAGAACACAGTTGAAGAAAAAAAAGAACAGCATACAGAAAGTACAAACCTACGTACTTAAAGACAGACAGATAGATAAATAGATAGCAAATTCATACTACTCGTAAGTTGTAATGGTGCCATTATTATTCACATACAGTGGGTTATATATATTAACGTTTTAATTTGGAGTAGACAGATTTGTTGTTAAGGAAATAGATATATTAATGACATCTACATTTGAAGATGGTGCCAGTGAACGTTCTTCTTAGCAATTCAGATGTGTAACACAGTGCAGCCAGCATCCCACTTTGTGTTACAACTTTCATTCCGACGTTATCAAGCAATATTCAGAAAGCTATAGAAATATTGAGGCTGATTACACTTATAAGACGCTCGCTCCCATGAGAACAAGACGAAATGAAATCTTCTGTAGCTTTAATGAGATGGAACGCGTCCAACGACGAGCCACGACGACACTACACTGTCGTTTGTCAGTGTCACTTACTGGGCTATCAGGTTTGGCAACGATGAGTGAAATGCGTTTTCTACATAACGCACGACACACATTCCTCGGATAATGAAACGTATCTGGCAGTTTCTCCCAGCAAATTAATTTTGGATCTTTGGTTGTTAACGTGTTTGTTACATTCAGAAATGAGTTATCAAAGTTGATGTTATATTCTGTTATATTTAAGTTAATGAAAAATTACGGAAAAAGAAAGATCGTCTATAGAAACATGTGTTATCTATTTATAAACATTTCACTCTTTAGCCATACATTCCCATCAAGTGCTTCAACTACGAGATTATAAGGACATTTACTTAGACAACAAAGAAACATAGGTGTAGAAGATCCCACACCTATAGTTGATTCACTGATACCTCAGTAATTTGTTCTCTTGTTGTGGCATATTACAATACAATTATTCAAACAGATATATATCAATAATACGCTGGCATTTGTCTGTCCAGAATTTTTTTCGCAAATGTTTCAATCAAACGCTACAAATCTCATATCGTTAGAAGGGCTTCTGTTTGAGGAGTCCGGATTGCACATCGGCTTTTCAAGTCAGAATCACCTTATCTGCTTTGTGCT